GTGTGTCTGTGTATCTGTGTGTCTGTGTTTTTGTGCGTCTGTGTGTCTGTGTGTCTGTGTGTCCGTGTGTCTATGTGTCTGTGTGTCTGTGTGTCTGTGTGTCTGTCTGTCTGGGTGTTTGTGTGTCTGTGTGCCTGTGTGCCTTTGTGCCTGCGTGTCTGTGTGTCCTTGTGCCTGCGTGTCTGTGTGTGGGTGTGTCTGCGTGGCCGCGTGTCTGTGTGTCTGAGTGTCTGTGTGTCAGTGTGTCTATGTGTCTGTGTGTCTGTGTGTCTGTGTGCTTGAGTGTCTGTGTGTCTGTGTGCTTGAGTGTCTGTGTGTCTGTGTGTCTGTGTATTTGTGTCTGTATGGCTGTGTGTCTGTGTGTCTCCGTGTCTGTGTTTCTGTGTGTCTGTTTGTCTGTGTCTGTGCGTCTGTGTGTCTGTGTGTCTATTTGTCCGTGTGTGTCTGTGTGTCTGTGGGTCTGTGGGTATATGTGTCTGTGTGGCTGTGTGTCTGTGTCTGTGTGTCTGTGTGTCTGTTTGTCCGTGTGTCTTTTGTGTCTGTATGGCCGTATGTCTGTCTGTCTGTGTGAGAGTTTGTCCGTGTGTCCGTGTGTCTGTGTGTCTGTCTGTCTGTGTGTCTGTGGGTCTTTGTGCCTGTGTGTCTATGTCTGTCTGTCTGTCTGTCTGTCTGTATGTGTGTCTGTGTGTCTGTGTGTCTGTGTGTCTGTGCTTCCGTGTGTTTGCGTGTCTGTGTGTCTCTGTGTCTGTGTGTCTGTTTGTATGTGTGCCTGTGTTTCTGTCTGCGTGTCTTCCTGTGATTCTGTGTGTTTGTGTGGCCGTGTCTGTGCGTCTGTGTGTCTGTGTGTTTGTGTGTCTGTGCTGTGTGTGTCAGTGTGCTTGAGTGTCTGTGTGTCTGTGTGTCTTTGTATTTGTGTGTCTGTATGTCTGTGTGTCTGTGTGTCTGCGTGTCTGTGTGTCAGTGTGTCTGTGTGCCTGTGTGTCTGTGTGTCTGTGTGTCTGTGTGTCTGCGTGTCTGTGTGCCTGTGTGCCTGTGTTTCTGTCTTTCTGTCTTTCTGTGTGTCTGTGTTTCTGTGTGTCTGTGTGTCTGTGTGTCTGAGTGTCCGCTTGTCGCGTCTGCGTGTCTGTGGGTCTGTGGGTCTCTGTGTCTGTGTATCTGTGTGTCCCTGTGCCTGTGTGTGTTTGTCTGTCTGTCTTTGTGTCCGTGTGTTTTTGTGTCTGTGTATTTGTGTGTCTGGTGGCCTGTGTGTCTGTGTGTCTGTGTGTCCGTGTGTCCGTGTGTCACCGTGGCTGTGTGTCTGTGTTTCTGTGTGTCAGTGTGTCAATGTGTCAGTGTGTCAGTGTGTCTGTGTGTCTATGTGTCTGTGTGTCTGTGTGTCTTGGTGTCTGGGTGTCAGTCTGTCAGTGTGTCCGCGTGTCTGTGTGTCTGTGTGTCTGTGTGTCTGTGCATCTGTGTGTCTGGTTGTTTCTGTGTCTGTGTGTCTGTGTGTTTGCGTGTCTGTGTGTCCGTGTGCGTGTCCGTGTGGTTGTGTGTCTACGTGACCGCGTGTCCGTGTGTCTGTGTGTATGTGTATCTGTGTGTTTGTGTGTCTGTGTGTCTGTGTGTCTGTGTGTCTGTGTGTTTTTGTGTTGGTGTGTCTGTGTGCCTGTGTGTTGGTGTCTGTGTTCCGTGTGTCCGTGTGTCTGTGTGCCTGTGTGTCTGTGTGTATGTGGGTATCTGTGTTTGTGTGTCTGTGTGTGTGTCTGTCTGTCTGTCTGTGTGTCTGTCTGTCTGTGTGTCTGTGTGTATGTGTGTCTGTGTGTCTGTGTGTCTGGTTGCCTGTGTGTCTGTGTGTCCGTGTGTCTGTGTGTATGTGTGTCTGTGTTTGTGTGTCTGTGTGTCTGTGTGTCTGTGTGTCTGTGTGTTTGTGTGTCTGGGTTTGTGTCTGTATGTCCGTGTGTCTGTTGTGTCCGTGTGTCCGTGTCTGTGTGTCTGCGTGGCTGTGTGTTTGTGTGTCCGCGTGTCTGTGTGTCTGAGTATCTGCGTGTCTGGATGTCTGTGTGTCTGTGTGACTTGTTGGCTGTGTGTCTGTGTATCCTTGTGTCTGCGTGTCTGTGTGTCCGTGTGTCTGCGTGTCCGTGTTTCTGTGTGTCAGTGTGTCTGTCTGCCTGTGGATCTGTCTGTGTTGTCTTTCTGTACGTCTGTGTGTGTGTGTCTGTCTGTCTGTCTGTCTGTGCGCGTGTATTTGCGTGTGTGTGTGTGCGTGCGTGTGTGTGTGTGTGTGTGTGTGTGTGTGTGTGTGTCAGTGTGTGTGTGTGTGTGCGTGCGCGCGCGGCGCTGGCAGCCCCGCGCTGGCCCCCCCCCCTCCCCCTTTCTCGGGCGCTCCGCGAGGGCGGAGTGGTTGGAGTGGAGGGAGGGCCGGCCCCAAAATGGGGCGGTGCCTCCCCCCTCCGGAGCGCCGGAAGGGGGTGGTGGGCGGGGGGGGGCTGTCTGCCAGTCAGTGTGTCTGTGTGTCTATGTGTCTGTGTGTCTACGTGTCTGTGTGTCTGTGTGTCCGTGTTTTTGTGCGTATGTGTGTCGGTGTGTCAGTGTGTCAGTGTGTCTGTGTATCTGTTTGTCTGTGTGTCTGTGTGTCTGTCTGTCTGGGTGTCTGTGTGTCTGTGTGCCTGTGTGCCTTTGTGCCTGCGTGTCTGTATGTCCTTGTGTCTGCGTGTCTGTGTGTTGGTGTGTCTGCGTGTCTGCGTGTCTGTGTGTCTGCGTGTCTGTGTGTCCGTGTGTCTGTGTGTCTGTGTGTCTGTGTGTCTGTGAATCTGGTGCTCTGTGTGTCTGTGTGCTTGAGTGTCTGTGTGTCTGTGTGTCTGTGTATTTGTGTGTCTGTATGTCTGTGTGTCTGTGTGTCTACGTGTCTGTGTTTCTGTGTGTCTGTGTGTCTGTGTGTCTGTGTGTCTATGTGTCCGTGTGTCTGTGTGTCTGTGTGTCTTTGTGTCTGTGTGTCTGTGTGTCTGTGTGTCTGTGTGCCTGTGTCTGTGTGTCTGTGTGTCTGTGTGTCCGTGTGTCTCCGTGTGTCTGTATGGCCGTGTGTCTGTCTGTCTGTCTGTGTGTGTGTGTTGTCTGTGTGTCCGTGTGTCCGTGTGTCTGTGTGTCTGTGTGTCTGTGTGTATGTGGGTATCTGTGTTTGTGTGTCTGTGTGTGTGTGTCTGTCTGTCTGTCTGTGTGTCTGTCTGTCTGTGTGTCTGTGTGTATGTGTGTCTGTGTGTCTGTGTGTCTGGTTGCCTGTGTGTCTGTGTGTCCGTGTGTATGTGTGTCTGTGTGTCTGTGTGTCTGTGTGTCTGTGTGCCTGTGTGTCTGTGTGTGTGTGTCTGTCTGTCTGTTTGTCTGTCTGTGCGTGTGTCTGTGTGTCTATGTATCTGTATGTCTGCTTGCCTGTGTGTCTGTGTGTCCGTGTGTCAGTGTGTCTGTGTGTCTGTGTTT